AGTTTATTGTAATCTGTTAATTTTCCAATAATTTTCTTTTACCCCATTTAATTTTTACAATAAAATAATAAATTGATTTTATATATATTTTAAGGACTTAAGATAAAGAAAGTGGAAATGGATTGTAGTATCTTTTTTACAAAAGTTACTCTAATCAAATACAAAGCCAAGGAAAGCTGATTTCAGTTAATGCTTATCAAATAAATATAAGATTTAAATATTAAAAGTAAAAAAAAAAAAACATTCATTATCTCAAAAGAATTGTTATTAGTTATCAATTCTATCATCAAAAAGGAAAACAAGCAAATCAAATTAAATAAGAAATAAGAATTTCAGAAAAGAACATAAACAAGACCTCTGGAAAGATTAAAATGTGAGATCAGGTGCCCGAGAAGAGTTAGAATCTCCTGTTGACGAGTAACGTCACACTCACCATAAGCCTTTTTTTATTGATCATGTAACACATATAAATGTACAGGAGGAATTTGCCATTCAATTAATGACACAGGTTCAGCCTGTGAATATTGATTGATTGATTGTGCATTTGAAAATTTCACTAATGTGAAGACGTTCAATATTTACCAGTGAACGAATTCAAATTTTGATCTTTACTCGGAACCTAGGGGAATTGAGCAATCAGTGATCTTAATAGTGATAAGGGACATCGGTTTGAAAGTTTTCAAAATAAAAAAAGAATCTGCAACTGTCAGTTCAAGTGCTTGTGCATGGCGAAGGAACAGTTGCTACCCCTTTTTGGACTTAGGTAAGACACAGCCAAGATTCCAGATTTGAACTCAAGACATTCAAATCACGGAGCATCTGCTCTACTGACTGAACTACAGTGAACGGTCATCATTTGAAGATGTCTTTAAATTGAATTTTAAAAAAATGCAATCAGTATAAACAAGATTTACTTAATTTTAAATTGTCCTTGGATGAGCTTGGTTTCAAATATACATGTATACATGTAACCTCATTCTTTCAGAACTGGCAAAATACATTACCAAATATCACAAAACATGTTCTGCAGTTTATAAATTGAAAATGTGAACATTTTAAAATTATTATCAACAATACAAGAACAACATAATTATGCTGAAAGAGAAAGGGGGAGGGTTAATAAGTATATAAGTCTCATTCATCTTGTTTGTAATCTCTGCTGGAAGTATTTTACATTTTTTTAAAAAACAAATAAATAGATAAGAAATAAAATTCAAATGAATAAAAAAGAATTAAAAAGGAGGTGGGTGTAAATCAAGATAAACGTATTTTCTATTATATAATTTTCTTACATTAGACCAGTTAGTTCTTTCTTGATGACTCAGTAATATAACTGGATATTAACAATTAAAATAGAGACCCAAGGAAAATAACTTAATTGGAAAGATATATATTCAGGGAAGGGGGCGTTAGGCACGATTAATTTGTAGGGAAACCAAAATTATATTAATGCAGCATAGATCTACATTTGGTTGGAAATAAGAGAGAGAAAGAGTGATGTTCACGATGGATGGGTTGCTAACAGTTTTGAGTAGGAATGGGGTCCATGGTGGGAGGTTAAATTGAAATTGCCTACTCCCACCAGGTGGCGGTGGGCACCTATAAGGTGCCCATTTGGGGAAATCGTCACCTTCAATTTAACCGGCATAAATTTTGTTGAATTTTTCTGGTTGATGTTGATATACAGTATATGTGATGTTGACTTTGAAAATTATATCTTATACAATGTAAATTTAAAGCAAAATAATGTAATTAAAAGATAATTTGTGCTGAAATGTGTCCGTAGCACGAATGAGGTCAACCCATCGTGCTACTTTTCCAGTCAGGAGGGCACAGATTACTGTTGATATTGGGGGTATGCCAGTTTGCCGGCTGCCCCACTGTTGTGTATACCACTGTGGACAATACCTGCCAACTCGAATAAAACATTGAACTTAAATACTAGACATATGTTTATTATATAAAGATCTTTGATAAGTTACATATATTAAGATTTAGAGTGCCTGATAACAGCTTAATCAAATTTTACTCCTCTTTACACTTGATATCAGTCATATGACACTGTGAACCTAAAAAAGTTCTAAAAACAGCAGTATTCTTGAACCACGTTTGCTATGTAAAACATTGGACAAAAACTATATTTCAGAACCTGTGGCTGGATATATAATATTCATTTTGTGAGGTCCTCTCGAACTAGGACTACATCAGAGAGTTTGACATTGACCAAGTCACGCTTATGAGGTATTTCGTTCTCTGCTACATTTAAATGTTTACTTTTATTTTGTGTATTAAAGAAATCGCACTTAAAGACATAACCAGTTGAAAAACCATGCATTTTAATCCATTTTTTACGTTTGGATATTGAAATATTTGTGGGATATGTTATCATAAAGAAATTAATACCATATATGTTCACTGATTATTAAATCTCTTTCATTTCTTCAGTCATCCAATTGTGGATATGCGATATAAAAATCATAGTCGGCTAAAGGGAAAGCGGTCAAAGCTGAGTCAAGAATTTTTTTTTTAGATAAATTAAAAAAAAGTTTGTCACCCAGGGTTATCCGTTGTCATGAATTGTGTTCTGGTCATAAATTTTCAATATTTTCTAAGGATTAGACTTGATATACATGTAGATTTAATAACGGGTTTTATCATGAGGCTTCTGGGTATGATCAATCGGAACTCCTCTGATGTCTCGCAAACTCAACAAAAATGATATTGTTGAGTTCGTGAGACATCGGTGGAGTTCTGATCGGAGGTATGATGAGAGCCGAGGATGATCTCGCTGGAGCATATACTTGTACCATTGAAAGACGAAAGTCCATGTTTATGACAATCAATAATTTGATATCTGGTAGGTTGGAAATATTTATTACTTCATGACCTACTCAAATAAAAATTAATGAATATGTAATTAAATCAAAATTATAATATTGATTAAGTGAAAGTATACTTTTTGTTAGGGTGGCAAAACAAGCATGATAATTTTAAGTCAAATATTAAAAACAACATATAATGGGTATCATTAGCAAAATCAAAATGCCTTGTAAAAAATTTAAATCTGTTTCGTATACTAAAGAGAGTTTTTTTTAACGTTTTATGATGTTTAATGATCCCAGGGATATTATTCATGTGCCTAATATTTCGATCTTTGATTTCTTTATTTTAAAGAGGCATGGACACAGTTTCCACTGAATTTTTTAACCCAATTTTAATTTTTACTATTCCTACCTGTGGCCTCATCTAACGATTAGAAGAAATTTGAACATCATTTAATGATTAACAAACGAGATACAGAATTTTAAGTTTTTCATAATGTAAACAAGTCTCGTGCCTTGTTTTTGTTTACATATAGAAAATATCATATTAAATTTTATGAAATTCAGCAAATCAATAGAAATTGTTGAATCGCATTTAAAATTAACTTTTTTATTGAAATTATCTACTTTGAACGAAAATATATTAGTATATTAACCTATGTAAACAAAAACATGACACGGACCTTATTTACATAACAAAGATTTGGAGCTCTAAATTTGTCTTGTATCTCGATATCTGACGTTCAAATCTTTGATGATCATTAGAAAGACCTTAGTTAAATATTTGTAGAAATGGAGAAATTAAATTTGAAAATATAACTGAAACTGTGTCTATGCCCCTTTAAATAATCTTCAAGTTCTTGAAAAAAGATTTAGAATCCACTGTTGATTTACATAACTAAAGAAAAATTATAGCAAGTACATCTGAACTCAATACATTGGTCAGCTAGAATAATAACAAAGACAAGAAAGAATAATAACAAATTGTGGTATCTCATTTCTTATATTTTAACTTTTTGAAAACATTTTGGTAACGGACTAAGCAAAGTATGAATTGTGGATGCTATCCATTTTGTTGGAATTAATATGTTCAAAGTTAAAATGGAAATAAAAATTCTAACAAAAATTCATGTTTGATCAATATGACTTCAGAGTCACCTGTATGATATTTCATGTCAACAGATTACTTTTTTTCTTACATATTTCCTACAATTTGTTACGGCATTGGTTTATATAAGTTTTGATTACATATTGAATATATACAGAATACTCTGTACATATAACTCGAGGATGTTTAGACAGCTCGACAGGGAAAGGTGACTGTTCCAAGGGTCCTTAAATACCCTTTCCTTGCTTTGTATCATTTAAAGGATCTATTTTGATATAATAAATCTCTTAATTTTTTTACTCTCCAAATCATTAACACACAGGGATTTTAACACACATACTTACACACACACCCTCACACTCCCCCGACATAAAATACGAGAGTGTTTTCATTTTGTCAAAGGAGGTGAAAAGGAATTTAACGCGCCATGGGCCATGGCCATACCCCAGAAGAATAGTTACAAAATATTCTGACAAATGATCAAATAATAGCAGAAAGAAATCATTTTCTAATTAGGACACACTCATTATAGAAGCCTTCCGTTTTAATATTTGACAAAAGTTGATTTTCTCCAATTTCATTTCATCCAGGTGATTGTGATCTTCTAATTTATGGGTTCGGGATCAAGCGCCCAGTGTAAGATACGGCAAAGTTTTCAGTGCTACGGGGACACAGAATTCTACTGTAATACATGTAAACATGGACTGTGTATACAGTGTAAAGATAAACACGTTATTGACCTTGATACCGTATACCACGATGTTGTGATTTACCGAGAGAAATATGACATTCTAAAACGAGAGACCTGTTTTGCACATACAGACAGAATATATGAAAAGTACTGTTGTACCTGTAAAATTTCTTTCTGTGCTAAGTGTGAAAAACACAAACAACACAAAATACTGAACATTAGAATAGCTTATAAAACAAACCGCGACCAACATAGAGAAATCCTTCGAAAGATCAGAAGTGAAAATCTCTCTAATAACCTATTCCTCCTGGAAGTCATTAAAACTGATTTAAAAGCTGATCAAACAAATATCTTCAACATTAATTATGTTCAACAAAAGATGTCAACAAAAGCCCAGACATTAAAAGACCTGATTAATACTGTGATGTGTGATGTTAAAGTCAAAAGGCTCCTAGTTACACGTAAGCATAGATTACAACAACGTAGGAGAACACTTGCCAACATAACAAACTATGAATACAGATATGAACAAGCAGCAAGCAGAGCGGTGAAATTCCTCCTCTTCCTTAAAAACACCTTTGTCCCAGAGATAAAAGAATCTCTATATATTACACACAACGCCTCGCCTTACCTCACTATGAAAATCAACAAGGAGGATGTGGTTGAGTTTCTGACTGAAACCAATATCATAGAGAGAGGACAGAGACAAGTAATAGATGGCTATCTGAAACTTATGTCTATACCTGGGTTACATAGATCACTTAAACTGAGAACTTCTGGTCATATAACACATATTTCTTGTCTTAATTCAGACCGGATCTGGGTCAGTGTAAGGCACACTTATCTTACTGTGTTAATCTTGATAAACACAAAAGGGGACATTCTGCATCAGCTGACAAGTAGAGGACTAAAAGCTAATTATAAATGGTATAGTATATACGGAGCGCACACAGTGAACAACAACGGTGAACTAATATATATAAACCGTAATAATGAAATTTACAAAGTTTCTATAGATAATAGAACAAAGTCTTCACTGATAAAAGGAATTGATCTCTGGGAGCCACGTTGTATCTATTCCTCCCAACTTAATGGAGATCTACTGGTGATGTTATATTATAAAATGACAGGCAAGGTTAACCGTTACGATAACACAGGACAACACATACAGACAATACAACATGGCAACGATGGTCAGCAACTGTACAGGAAACCTATATACATCACAGAGAACCGCAATGGAGATGTTGTTGTGTCTGACTTAGGTCGTGTAGTGGTGACAGATGCTGGAGGGAGATATCTCTTCTCCTACACAGGACCTCCATTTCAATCACGACTATATCCACATGGAATCTGTACTGACGCACTTTCAAACATCTTGGTGTGTGATTTGTACTCCAACACAGTACATATGATTGACAAAGATGGTCACTTTCTGTCACACATACTGACACAAGCGCAAGGAATAAACACACCACATAGCCTTAGTTATGACAACAAAACTCATCTCCTCTGGGTTAGTTCATGGATAGACAAAACTGTGTGTGTATATAGCTACATAAACAGAAAGAGCTATAAGACAGATAAATGCTATTGATTGTTCATTAATAAGATATATGTACATGTAGACATCCTTAATATCAAATTAGGGTATCGTTTATCTCGCCGGATATATTTCTTTGAAAATCTTTATTCAAGCCTATTGTGTTGATTTGTAATAACTTCCATAATTGTTGATTTTTAAAATGGAATTAATTTAATATACTGAAATACATAATACATGCTGCAGATCAATTTTTTTCAATAGGAATATACATTTCTATTCTATGCATTTCATTTAATTACAGGTGTTGAAAAAGCTGACAAGTTCTTTTGAATACAATCGAGGGAAAAGTGTGAGAATAAAATACTTTTGAGTACCCGTCTTTGTCGCAATACATCCATGTAAACTAAAAATGCAAACATCAAAAACAAATTACTGCATGTAATTCTGATCTTTCTCCTTCATTAAATTTCATTCCCTAATCAGTTTTATATCAATGGTAAAAAAAGGTAAGGTTAACAAGGGAAATTAAAAGATTGAATAAGGATCATTTTTGTCTTTTGTCCCTCCTTGCAAGTGTCGCATTGATAACTTGGCATATAAGTAGACTTCACTAAGATACAAAATTTAGTGCATCAGTTTTTGATTTCGATGAACGGTGTTGCCATGTTTATTAAAAATATAGAATTTTTTGTGAAATACCTTTAAAATGCTACAGTAACTCCTCCTACTTGGGGACTTTTTGGACTTGATGCGTTGGTGCCCCCTACGAATATTTTTTTGTAAAATTGCTGTAGTTTGATATATATATATATAAAATTAATGTACTTAAAACAATTACGAAATATGAATTCTTTTGTACTCATAAAGTGTGAACTGTCATGTATGTATATTTTGTTTACTCTATTATACCTAACTGTATTTAACCACATAATTATCATCTTTGATATGTACAATTCTTTTTTTCTATCCGATCCTGGGAGCTCCTGGCACCCCAGGTGAGGATATATTTGCGAGGGCCTCTGAGGAGGCATTACCTCCACATTTATTGTTACTATGTTATTGAATAAAATATTAAAAATTTAAAAAAAAAAAAAAAAAAAAAAAAAAACTCCTCCTACAGTTTTAGTGTGATTTCAATATAACTCGGCACACAAGTAGACGTCACTAAGATACATAATTTTGTGCATTCGTTTCTGATTTCGATGACCGTTGTTGTCATGGTTACTAAAATAGAAATTTCTGTGAAATTCCTTTACAACGCTACTCCTCCAACAGTTTTCATTAGATTTTAATAGAACTTTTTATATTTTCATTAAACCCTTTAATATGACTCCATATTAGGTCACTTACTGACTGTGTTACGAATTTATCCCGCTGAAGACCTTCTTAAGTATTAAAAATTATAAAAAAAATCTATGTGCATATTATGAAAATATCAAGTTTTAATCCAATAACAATCAACACAAAATATTGTAGCAAGAATTTAAGTGATTAAACTACCTTCGCAAACCATTTCATAGCCGCCATTTTTATTTACAATACGACGCCCCCGTATGACAATGTAACGGTTTCTTAGTTATAATATAACAATAAGTCCGTTTCAGTTTCGAACATCTCCATTTATTCACACACAGATGATAGGGAATAATAGGAATATAGGAAATAAGGAAAATGCCCTGAAAATTATAATAACAAATAATAAATACATAGCATAAAATATTCTAACATATCCCTATCAATACAGTTACTACAATTTGCGGTACAGATACGCTGCATAAAGGGAGGTAACTCTTCGCACGAATTACACATTATAAAATAGAATAATGCTCCCTTTCAATATCATACTCTTTGAAAAATCATAAAACCTTTATACAACAATATTGATCTATATGTTTCAATAACGTCTACACAGACTTTACTCTTTTAGGATAATCATAAAATATATAAAACAATAATAGCATACCAATCTATGGGATTGAGCCTCTCCCAATCAAAAGAGTGTCTGACTCAGTATGGCTCACATGGTCCAGATCATATCATATAACTACAAATTACCACAGTTTACATAAGTAAACCTATCATAAAAATATCTACATTATTTATTTAAATAAAAACTACTATCTGCATCAATAAAACAGTTACTCAGAAACTGTATCTCTCAATCAGATTCTGACCGTGAAAGTGCTATGGAATTAACTTTGGCAAAATTACAGACTTTACAGCTAAATCAAATATTAGAAATTAGATTAGAATTAGTATATAAATATTAGCTTACCTTGATAGAGAGAAATATCGTCTTAGTCAAATGTCAAAAGTATTAATAAGCAAATCTATAAATATGGCCCTCTCTATTATGACTTTAGATTAGATGATACAAATGATAACTCAGACCATGTAGACAGTATTATTAATTGTGAAATTGTCGAAGAAGAAATAATAGCGGCTATTCAGAAACTTAAGAATGGTAAAGCCGCAGGGTATGATAACATTCTAAATGAACATATTTCTACAACATTGTCAACGTTTTTACCATTGTATAAGAAGTTTTTTAATATAATTTTTGATAGTGGTTTCGTTCCAGATGAATGGTTAATTGGTATTGTTAGACCGATATATAAGAATAAGGGCGACCCAATCCAGCCTGAAAATTATCGTCCTATATCTCTGCTAAGCTGCCTAAGCAAACTTTTTACCCGCATATTGGCGAATAGACTAGAAATGTATGCAAACGAGGTTAATCTTCTAAATAATAATCAAGCAGGTTTTAGGAAAAATTACTCAACATTAGACCATATTTTAACTTTGCAATTTCTATCTGATATCCTTATGAAAAGAAAAAAGAAACTTTTTTGTGCATTTATTGATTTTAAACAGGCATTTGATACTGTATGGAGAAACGGTTTGTGGAATAAGCTATTCAGAAATGGTATTAACGGAAAATGTTTCAATTATATAAGGAATATGTACATGGGAATTAAGTCTTTAGTGAAACAAAATGGAATGTCCTTGGGATTTTTTGAATGTAATGTCGGGGTAAGACAAGGCGAAAATCTGTCACCTTTTTTATTTTCTTTGTACATAAACGATTTTGAAGAATTTTTGGTAGAAAAGGACATAGTCGGATTACAAACTATTAGTAAAGAAATTGAAGATGAATTATTACTACATTTAAAACTTTTGATTTTATTTTATGCTGATGACACTGTTATTTTGGCAGAATCTGCTGATGATTTACAAAAGGCATTGAATGAATTCTATACTTATTGTACTCAATGGAAACTTAATGTGAATGTTGATAAGACAAAAGTCTTGGTTTTCTCCAAAGGGGCAATGTTAAAGAGGAAATTTTATTACAATACCCAAAATATTGAAAATGTAAAAGAATTTAAATATCTAGGAATTGTATTATCAAGAACAGGTTCATACTGTAAAGCGAAGAAACATCTTTGTGAGCAAGCACAGAAAGCAATGTACGGGGTGATAAGAAAAATTAGACAATTTAATTTACCGATCGAATGTCAGCTTGTCTTGTTTGATAAAGTAGTCACACCCATCTTACTCTACGGATGTGAGATATGGGGCTATGAAAATATGGAAATAATTGAACGTGTCCATTTAAAATTCTTAAAAACTATATTTGATTTGAAAAGTTCTACACCAAATTACATGATTTACGGAGAAACTGGAAGATTCCCTTTGTACATCAATGTTTTTACGAGAATGATTACTTACTGGTCAAAGATGTTTACATGTGCAGAAGATAAAATTGTCAATATTGTGTACAAGTATATGTATAACCAATTAAGTAACGATGGTATTAAATGTCAATGGATTGAATGTATTCAAAAAATTTTAAATAATTGTGGACTTTCATTTATATGGAATGAGCAAGGTGTTGTCAATGCTAAATGGCTAAGTGCTATCGTAAATCAGAATTTAAAAGACCAGTTCATTCAAAAATGGTCAAATGACATAAATAGTTCTTCCAAAGGCCAGATTTACAGAATTTTTAAAACCAATTTCGGATTTGAAAGCTACATTAAAAATTTACGCCCAAAACAAAGAAAGCTATTGATGAAAATGCGTACCTCAAATCATCATCTACCTGTCGAAACAGGGAGGTGGTGTGGCACCCAATTAAATGAAAGAGTATGTTTACTTTGTAACAATGGAAAGATAGGCGATGAATACCACTACATTTTAGAGTGTACAGCTTTTTCAGAGATAAGAAAAAAAAATTTACACAAAAGTTACTGCACCAGACCAAATGTTGTCAAGTTTTATGAACTCATGGCCAATTCAAATATATAATCTTTACAAAAACTATGTACATTTATTTCAAAAATATTTGAGACTGTCTGTCCTTCTTAGCTGTCCTCCTGGTATTTTCTTTTTGTATATACTTTATTATTACATGTACGAGTACTATATGTACATCCTCTCTACATGCAGTTGTAAAACATTTATTTACGTATATATTTATATTAATTATTTATATGTGTGTATATTTATACTAAATGTACCTCTGACGACTTTATAGACATTGTATATACTTTATGTTCCTCATGTACCATACTGTATGGTTTGAGCGAATACGAGTAAACTGATTCTGATTCTGATTCTGATTCTACTGAAAGACTGGACAAAGAATGACCATAACAAAACAACTTTTGGAGGGAAAAAACAAGTAAACCAATAAAACACAACCTTACAAATTCCAAACCAATGAAAACCATGTATACTTCAGACCAAAGACCAATTCAAAGACAAGAACTTTCATACCCCAAGGCAATAATAATTAAGTACAGGTACCACCTGTTCTACCTGGGTGACCTTTATATATTCTTTATCAATACATTTATGTACAAATTAAAAACATGAAATATAATAGATTTATTAAATAAATTGAATAAATCTAATACTGTAACAACAACATAGCAAAGATTAAACTTTTCTTAAATTTAATTTATTGGTACCAAAAGTAGGGTATTCTCACTGGAAAACAATTGAAATTTGAAAGTAGGCCAATGTTAGAGTTTTTTCAATAAATA